TCAGACAGCTGGATCAGGGCCTAGTGTTTTGGTACCATGGATTAAGCCCCCACTTGGGTCACCAGCATCCCATATCAGAGCTCCAGTTCCCGCTTCTGATCGGTCTCCCTGCTAATGAGCCTGGGAGGCTGCAGATGATGGCTAAAGTCCTTGGGTCCTTGCCACCCACGTGGAAGACCCAGATGAAGCTCCTGGCTTCAGCCTGGTGCAGCCCTGGGCATTGAGGCTGTCTGGGTAATGAAATAGCAGATGGAATCTCTCTCTCTCTCTCTCTCTCTTTCTCTCTCCTTTTCTCTTTCTCTCTGTTACTCTGCCTTTCAAATGAATAAATAAATATTTTTAAAAAGTACCTAATGCAACATTTGGTAAAGGCAGGAGACTAATAAATAATTGTTGAATGAATGAAAATTTAAAAAAAAAAAAGAAAAATCCAGGTGATCTTGGCTTTTTTGGTGAGGAGTGAATGTGTAGCCCCTGGGCACTAAGGTAAAATAGGTTGTACAAAAACACAGTCTGGCCGGCGCCGCGGCTCACTAGGCTAATCCTCCGCCTAGCGGCGCCGGCACACCGGGTTCTAGTCCCGGTCGGGGCGCCGGATTCTGTCCCGGTTGCCCCTCTTCCAGGCCAGCCCTCTGCTGTGGCCAGGGAGTGCAGTGGAGGATGGCCCAGGTGCTTGGGCCCTGCACCCCATGGGAGACCAGGAAAAGCCCCTGGCTCCTGCCATTGGATCAGCGCGGTGCGCCGGCCGCAGTGCGCCAGCCGCGGCGGCCATTGGAGGGTGAACCAACGGCAAAGGAAGACCTTTCTCTCTGTCTCTCTCTCTCACTGTCCACTCTGCCTGTCAAAAAAAAAAAAAAAAAAAAAAAAAAAAAAAAAAAAAAACACAGTCTTTCAGTTGGCTGGATCTGGATTTGAAACCTCCTCTGCCAGCCCAGTCTCTGTGAGGAAGTCGTTTTACCTCCCTGAGCTTCATGCTGTCTGGGTTGAGAGGTCACAAGCAGAGGACAGCAGGTGGCGCGCACCAGAGTAAGTCTGTTACTGCCCATTCTCCCTTCACACACTGATTGGTTTCCAGAACACTTCGGCCCTCTGAAGCACGGATAACCCACCCATTTTACAGATTTCCTCCCTCATTTGTTCAATAGCTCTGAAAGTCTTCCAGGAAGCAAGTAGCACTTGCCCCTTGTCTGAATAATTCATGGTGTCTGTGTGGGTGCGTGTCTCTGTCTCTCTGTCTGTCTGTCTGTCTCTCTCTCTCTCTCACACACACACACACACACACATACACACACAGTGGACGGTTCCACCATGTGGTCAAGACTGTAATTATGGTGGCTATGTTCTCGAAACCACAAGTCAGGTCACATGGTTGGACAGAGGCTATTTTCTGCCCCCACTGAAGTCCCAACATGAAATCACATGTATTACACATTCATGGAATCACTGTATTTTTTTTTTTTTTTTGCTTTTTTTTTTTTTTTTTTTTTTTTAAGAAGCAAATGACATGATACTTGGATTGTCCTTGACAAATCCCACTCTGGTTTTGGGAAAATCACTAGAGCTGTAAAGGGGAGGTCGAGTAGGTCTCTAAGGCCCTCCGGGCAAGGAGCACCTTCTGGCTGGGGAACTGGAGATGCAGGCTACAATGGGCAACAGTGTTTGTCTTGGTTACTTTTGACTTCCATTGTTGGGAAGCCACACCCTAGCCTCCTGGGCAGTAAGCTGTGGCAGACCCCTAAAACAGCATGGCTAATTACATTGTGTCTTGTGTATTTATGAGTCTGCCTTTGGCAGCCTTGGGGGCAGGCTCTGTGTATCTGTCTCGTACATCTTTCTGTCCCTCCTTTCCCCTCTGCCCTACCAGGAAGGTATGAGGAAGACTGTAGAAGAGTGAATGAATGAGTGACGCGCAGTGTGTGGCATTTGGTTGGTAGATCACATCCTCTGTTTTACCTTTAATCGATTAACTTGCACTCCATGTTCACTGGTGGCCCACCGATACCTGATGCAGCAAGGTACTGGGCACGAACCTCGTCCTGCCCACAGTGAGCATGCACTCCAGAGGGAGAGGCAGCTGACGGCAAGGAGCTAGGAGGACCCTGAAGAAAGAGGGAGATGTGAGGTGTGTCCCAGGAGCCTTAGGGAAAGCCCAGGAGGAAGTGAAGTTTAAACTGCCATCTAAGGGATGCAGGTGAGTCATCTGGCTAACATTTATGTAGTGCTTATCCTGTGACGCCACCACACTAAGGGCTTTATAGAAGTTAACTCATTGCGTCGTCACAACACCTGTAGGAAGCACACACGGTTGTTACCCACACTGCACAGCTGAGCAGAGGGAGCCCAGAAAGGTGGACAAGCTGGCCCAGGGTCGTGTGGTTCCTGTGTCGAAGAGCCAGGATTCAGTCCCAGGAAGTCTGGAGTGCACAGGCTCACAGAGGAATTGGGCAAAGGGGGAGGATACAGTGCACCTTTTAGGGCAAAGACATGGCGGGGCTGGGCGACAAGTCAGAGGGTGCCTCCGGAGAGCAGCGGAAGCCATTGAGATTCTGAGTAGGAAACAGGCACCAGGAGCTTGTGTTTGCAAGCTGGAGGGAGGGTGAACGGTGAAAAGGCTGTTTCCAGGCAGAGACATGGGGGGCTTGGACTGGGCATGCTGATGAAGGAGAAATGAGAGTGGGTTGGGGAGAAAAACCGCAGGCTGGACCAATGGGACTGGCTCACGGACAGGGTCGGGGACAAGGATGTGGCATCCATATTCAGGACTGGACATAGGAATTCGACACATGGAGCAGGCAGAGATGCAGGTTTGGGTGGAACATGGCAGGTTCAACTTTGATGTGTTGAATTGGAGCTGATCTTGGGACAACCAAGGGTGGTGTCCGGGGGCCAGTGGGGGCCTCCTGGGGCTGAGATGGAGCACCAAGGTGGTGGTGAGGGGAGGGAGGACCAGGGCATCATCTCCAGTAGGTTCTTACCTGGACCCACAGGGGTCAGCTCCCTGGTGGGACCTGGGTCTCTCCTCCCTACAAGCTCTCTGGAGGGCAGCAAGCTGGAAGGCTTTGGGCCCAGCTCAGAGAGCAGCAACTCCGAAGACTCAAGGATAGGCAGAGCTGTCACACGTGTGGAATTACCCCACTCACAGGCTGCCCCCCAGAATGCTGAGAGCATGCCTGCTGTGGATCCACAGCTCCACCAGGGAGAAAACCGGCTCTTGCTCAGCTCGGGGGAGAGAGCCTGGATCCTTGACCTTGGCTCCCCCCATCCCCCACCTGCTCAGCCTGCTAACAGCTCTCATCCCACCAGGCTCTCTGGATCTCGGGCCCTGTGCGTGGAACCATTCCCCAGGTGCCCCAGCCTCCGTCCTGTCCCCTGTTCCCCGTCTCCAGTGTTCTTCCTTGTGCCGTGCCTCCTGCTTCCCCAGCTCCATGCAACACTCAGCTTTTCCTGAGTCCACCTCATGTGGCCTTTGCACGGGGTGCTCCATCACCCCACCCCAGCGTAGCCTACCCACTCTGAGCCTGCTGCCTTCCCCCAAGTCCCCTCAGTAGGACACTTGTCTGGATTCTCTGAAGGAGGCCCTGAGCTTGACCAGCCTGTGGACCCAGAGAAGGGCACGTAGGCCATCTCCTGTACAGCCTGGACCATTGTTGAAAGTGCAGACTCACGTGTCTCAGCCCTCACCTCCCTGGCTGGGGGCACACAGCCTCACTCCAATGGTGTTTGTTAAATCTGCCTGAGACCCAGACCATCTTCAAGGCCTTTACACTGCTGCTGTGGGACACAGATCAGACCAAGGAGAATTTGCTGGTCTCTCTGGCCAGACTGGTGAGGTGGCTGCAGGGTGGACTGGGATGGCACAAGACCATCCTGCAGTTGGGCCTCCCCCTTGCGCTCAGCCCTTCACCCCACGCAGAGGTATCACACGGGCACACAGGGCAGTCAGAAGCCTGGTGCCACCCCGCTGCAGCTCTTGGTTTAGGCCTCAACATCTGAGCCATGAGTGGGGAGTGCACTGAGCAGAGCAAGCCTGGCTGGGCTTCTTTGCTCTGCTTGCTCCTGATTGTTTTTTGTTTTTGTTTTGACAGGGAGAGTTAGACAGAGAGAAAGGTCTTCCTTCTGTTGGTTCACCCCCCGAAATGGCTGCTATGGCTGGCGTGCTGCGCCGATCCAAAGCCAGGAGCCAGGTGCCTCCTCCTGGTCTTCCATGTGGGTGCAGGGCCCAAGCACTTGGGCCATCCTCCACTGCCTTCCTGGGCCACAGCAGAGAGCTGGACTGAAAGAGGAGCAACTGGGACAGAATCCGGCGCCCCAACCTGGACTAGAACCCTGGGTGCTGGCGCCGCAGGCAGAGGATTAGCCAAGTGAGCTGTGGTGCCTGCTCCTGTATATTTGAACCTGGTTCCTGTAGTTAGATAATTCTGAGCCCCTGAGGGTATTTAGGAATCCACCAATCTCCAAATTTGCCAACCCCCCTTACCCTACTCACAGGCAGTCAGGGTCTGGGAGGGTTGGGGAGGTGCCTGCTATCAGAACCATCTCAAGGGGTTCACTCTTGATGCTCTTGGAGGTCAAACAGCCCTGGGCTGGGGTAATCAGATCTGAGTGCAGCTTTGCTCCTCTCTTCTGTTTCTGGGCCTCAGTGTTCCCATCTGTTTAGTGGGCATAACCACTGTAACCTAGCATGCAGGGTAGGGAACAGGTTTTGGGGGCAAGGGGTTTGCACAAGTCCCTCCACCCCTTCAGGGGTCTGTTGTGCACAGGCGAGTGGTACACAGCTGGGAACGTTCTATTAAACAATGGAACCAGTCAATGAGCCAGTTAATCACGATAAAAGGAGGAAAGGAGTTTTCAAGAGTCAAGGTGAGGGTGTGTGCTGGTGGCGCTGCCTGGGACCTGGCTGGCCAAGCCGCGTGCGGAGGCGCGGGAGGGCGCCGCGAGCCCACAGGGGCAGAGCCGGGCGCCCCCTTGGGCCCCGGAGGCGCGGCGGGCGCGGGCTTTGTCTGCCTGCTGCTCGCCGCGCTTCTCCAGACCCCCAGCGCTGCTCCGGCCCTGACCCCAAAGAACTTGGTGGCGTCCCCCGGGCTTTGTTTCCTCGGGGTCACCGCCCTCGGGAGGCCCGGCAGCCTCGCCCGGCCTTCGTGGGTCCCGCATCCGACGCCCCCTCCGGCCCCCGCCCCCTACCCGCGCGGAGACAGGGGTCAAAGGCAGCCCGCGTCACGTGGTCGCCGAGCAGCACCGAATCGGCCGAGAGAGCCGAGGGAGAATCCGGGTGGAAGCCGAGAAATCCAGCCCCGGTCGCAGCGCCCGGTCCCGCCCCGGCCCCCGCCCCGGGGCGCTCGCCGCACGCCCGCCGGCCGCCCCGGCCTCCGCTGCGCAGCTCCGCGCGCTGCGCGCGCTCTGGGATCGAACCCACGCCTGCCGCCGAAACCCCGGGCAGGTAAGCGCCGCGCCGGCCGGGACTAGGGCGCAGGGCCGGGGCCCCTCGGTGCACCCCTCCGCGCCCCAACTTCCAGCCTTCAGAGCGCCCCCTCCCCGCCGCGGGACGGGCGGAGGCCTCGGGCTCCGGGCGCCGCGGGGGCCGGGCCTGGGGGGCTGGGCACCGCGAGGGATGGGGATGGCGCGGGCGGCGGAGCGGGCGCGGCGGCTGCGGCGTGGGCCGGGGGTGGGAGCGACGGGCGCCGGCCGCGAAGGGGTTAACTCCGGCCCGGGCTGGAGCCGGAGCCGGAGCCCGAGCCCCGCGCGCACGCCCGCCCGCCCGCCCAGGGGTGGGGGCCCGCGCGTCCCAGTGGCGTCCTGCCGTGCAGGTAGGAGGCCGGGGGCCTGCGCCGGCCAGTCCCCTGCAGCCGAGACCTGCGGGGCCGAGCCGGGCGTGCAGGCCGCGCGGGGCCCGAGCGGGCGCGGGGCGGGCGGGCGGAGTCTGCCGGGCCCGGCGCGGGGGTGGCGGTCGCACGCGGGGTGGGGGCCGCGGCGGGCCGGGCGCGGGCGAGGGCAGCGCGGCAGCTGTAGGTCACGGATAATGTCACTCGCGAGGAATGCCCCCTCCCCCTCGCCTGCTCGCGAACAGGGGAAACTTTTGTCTGGCGAAGGAGGGGGTTAGGGGCCGAGTCCCAGATCGGGAAGGGGAAGGCGGCCCGACCGGTTTGCTGCCTGCTCTCGGCGGCCTGGTCTCTAACTCCCTCCTCCCTCAGCCTCTCCGGTGCCCCGCCGAAGGAGCCCCCACCCCAACCCCCTTGCCAGCACTATGACGCCTTGGGACAGGAGTGAGGAGGGGGTTCTGAGACCCCCTGGAACCTTGGCACCGGGCGCGGGCCTGTGCTGTGCTGGGAGCCCCTGAGGCTGGGGGTGTGCAGAGCCCCACCCCCTCGGCCCCATTGTCTGACATCCCTGCCCCCCCAGTACTGCCCCAGCCTCCTAGGTCGGATAGCCCTTGGTGTTTGTCAGTATGCAGCTGTGTGACCTTGAGCAGGTTCCTTCCCTTCCTCACCTGTAAAATGGGGGGGAAATGCAGTAGCTGGAATGGGCCTGTGGCCCCGCAGTAGAGGGTAGCAGCTTGTATTCAACAAGTCCTTACTGCACAGCTGCCTTGCGCCAGGCCCTGGACTCATTCACTGGTTTACCCTACAGTGTCCAATTCTTCCGGATCATTATGCGCCATGTTTTACAGAGGGGGAGACTGAGGTACACAGTGGCAAAGGTCACACAGGTAGGAGTGGGGGAGCTGGGTCCTTGCTCTGGTGACCACCACGGCTGCCTCAGCTGCAGGTCTCCCCCAAGGCCTAACTTCCTTACTTGTGGTTTCATTTTCAGTTGAACTGATGTGGACCCTGCTCCTCTCCCGCACCGCCCTTACCCCATGACGCTCCCCTCTGCCTGGTGCTTGTTCCGGGTGATGTCTTGTGCCCTGGCTCTTGTCAGTGCGGGTAGCCCGAGCAGGAGGGCAGCTCAGTTAGAGCTTGGGCCTGCGGCTCCGGCATGGTCCAAGTTCGGTGGCTGGCCAGGTCTGTGGCAAGAACGCTGTCCCAGTGTGGGTGGCGCAGGGAGGAGCCTGTCTCCCTGGCTCCAGCTGGGGACAGCTGGTGGCTTTGTCAACAGGCTTCTCCCCAGCACCCTGGGGATGGCCAAGCCTTTCATCTGCATTCAGACCAGGTCACTTTCAGATCAGCAGGGGGCAGAGGTAGGGCTCAGAAGTGGAGCCCTTGTGCAGAGGAGAGAACTAAGGCTGAGGGATTTCGCTCCCAAGGGTGCCCTTGTGTGACTTAGCCACTGGCCAGGTCCTCATTGCTAAACAAATGCTGTCGGCGTCCTCACTGCAGAGGTCCCAGAGCCCAATGACAGGGGTGGACTTTGAGCCAGTGGCACGATTGCCCAATCCTCATGTACACACAGGTTCCTGAGCATGCTGGCACAGTGCTGGGCCCCCAGCAAATGCCCACTAGTGAGTGTGTGGGGTGCTTAGACTTCCCCTGGCTTTTGCACCCTGGGCTGGCCCCATCTTTTGGTGGGAGTGTCGTGTCTAACTATCAGGCTGTGATTGGGGGTCTTGAGTAATTACTTAAAAAATGGAAAACAAATTGCTGCTTAATTAGGAACATCTTAAAACCCAGGGCTGAGGGGAGAATGTGGTGGTGAGGAAGGTTGTGGGGAGTAGCCTCCCTGCTCCAAGAACTGTTTCCCCATGGCTGGACTTTGCAGGATTGGTGGCCTTTTCCTGGGCCCCGGGCGCAGGGAGTCCTCCTGGGCTGACAGCTAGCTCCCTTCCTGCTTGGAGGAGCAAGAGTGGAATTCTACAGCTCAGCTGCACGCTGAGGAGACTCAGAAGAGCGGGACTTAAATAAGGGGCCTGGAAGGGTGAAAGGGGTCCCCAGGGCTGGGGCTGCCCTTGTCATGTGATCAGAGCCGAAGGAGAGGTCTCTGGGAAAGAAGAGCACTCACAAGCAGAATAGTGAGCCTCCTGTCGCAGAGGGGTATGCAAGGAACGGTTTTGCAGTCCAAGCTGAGGATGTGGTGAGGAATGTGAGCTCATGGAGAAGCCGTGGCAGCTCAGAGACGGGCTGTGAGCTCTGCAGCCCAGTGTCTTCCTGCCCTGGGCTTGGGACCTGCTTGACCATGCTGTGGGCCCAAAGCCAGGCTTCACTCTCTAGAGACCGGGCAGACTTCGGCTGGCTTGGAATTTGGTTTTGAGTATGGCTTGAAATATCTGAACTGTTTGGAGGGCTCGGACATTCTTTACTTGAAATGGAATGTTAGAGTAATTTGTTAAATATGTATGGAAACTGCCTGTGGCTGGGGTGACAGGGGACAGGGAATGAGGTGAGGCCCTGCCGCTGGTTTCTGGCTCAAGAGGCTGCTGGTCTGATGGGGGAGGGAGGATCAGGGTGCAGGCTGTGTTGGATGGGCTTTGAAGGGTCAGCGGAGGGGGCAAGCTCGCTAACTGCTAATGCCGGCCCGGCTCTCTGGAGGAGGAAGTGTTTTTGAGGATGAAAAGCTATGGGAAGGGGCTATGGGAGGCAAGATTGGGTTGTAGAGAGCCTGCAGCGTTCTGCTCTGGACTGTTCTGTGGTTGATGGAGGGGACGGAGGGTTGTAAGTAGCTGGTTGAGTCGATGCCTGTTTCTGTGCCTTGTGCCAGGCACCATGCCAGGCTCTTTACAGATGCCCCATTGAAGTCTCACAATGCTTCTGGCATGCCCCTCCCCCACCCCGTTTTCGGGTGGGGAAATAGAGGGTCAGAGGGGCGGGATCACTTACAGAACCGGAACTTGAACCCAGACCTGGAAGCTTTCTGCCCTGTGGTGTTGCTTTTCTCAGGGGTTATTTGGGTGAGATGGTGGCAAGTGTGGCAGGGTTGCGAGCAGCAGGGAGTTGATGTTCACTGTGGTCCTGCAGTGAGCAGACCAGGGTCTGACTCGAGTCTGACCGAAAGGGAAGAATGGGGAGGCAGCTGGGCTCTGCAGCTGCCTTGGGCATAACGGTCATTGTACGTGGCCTAAGGGTGACAGCTTTGCTAAGCTGCCTGGCCAGGAGGCCAGTGCACGCGGAGAGTTGGAGAGGCTGTGGGAGGGTGCACCGGGAGGTTTGGCCCAGGGGAGCACTCTTGGTTCCCTCTTCACCCACGAATGTTAGCATTTGGGTGATGCTGGGCCCACTACCACCCTGCTGTTCTCGTAGCTTTCAGCGCTGCCCCTCCTGCCCGTCTTGGGCAGGACTGTGCCTGGGAACGTCCCTGCACTTGGGAATCCGCTCAGCCCAGCTGTCCTTCCAAGGGCCTCAAGAAGGCTGGGCTGCCCGGGCTGTGCGTTCAGAGGGCTCAACTGTCTGTGAAATAGGGTCCACCGTCAGGAAAGAAAGCTGCGCCTGGAATCAGGAGTAGGGGTGGGGGAAAGGGCTGGTGGGATTGGACGTAAGGGGTGGGGAAGAGGAGAGTGACTGGCAGGGGGGTTAAAGGCAGGGGCTGTTTATCTCGGGGGTCCCCAGCAAGCGTGCCTTCTCCCACCTCTCGTGCTACCCATCAGCTTCAGTGTTGGAGCTCTGTGGACGGGGTGGGCGTTCTCGGTGCCTCAGTGCTAGAGCTAATCTGCCCCCAGAGCGCCTGTCTGCAGGGAGAGGAGTTTATGCTGGCTGCCTCCTGGTCTTTTTTATTCCTACCTGCCTGCTTTCTTTTTAAAAAGGATTTATTTATTTACTTTTTTATTTGAAAGGCAGATTGACATAAGGGGTGGTGGTGGAGGGAGAGATCTTCCATCTGTTGGTTCACTCCCCAAGTGGCTGCAACAGCCAGGCTGGGCCAGGCCAAAGCCAGGAGCCAGGAACTTCATCCAGGCCTCCCATATGGGTGGCAGAAACTCAAGCACTTGGGCCGTCTTCCGCTGCCTGCCCAGGTGTATTAGCAGGGAGTTGGATTGGAAGTAGAGCAGCCGGGACTTGAACCGGCACTCCAATATGGGATGCCAGTGTTGCCAGCCATGGCTCACTGTACCCCCAACATCGGCCCCTGCCTTATTTCTTGATCCAGACTGGACTCACTTAAAAACGTGTGTGGTGAACAAGCATATGTTTATCCAAGGACGATGGCTGGGAGCTGGCCCAGCATATGGCCATAGCACCCCTGTTCCATTTCTCCTCAAATAGAGCCTGGCTTTTTCCCTCTCCCTGTCTGTGCCCCATCCCTTCCTGCCTCTGCATCTCTGCTCATGGCAAGGAGGCTGTACCCCAGGCCCTTCCCCTCATCTACCCCAAAATCTTCCCCAACCAGCGCTTAGCAATGGTGTCACCTCTTCCATGCAGCCGTTCCTGATTGCTGAGAGGTGGCCCAGCTGCCCCCACCTTCATGTGTGCAGAGCCGTTTCCTGGTTCTTCTGAGGCCCTTCCTCTCCTGGCTTTTCACTGTGGTTCCCTGCACATGTCTCGCCTCCCCTAGGTCCTGTGCATCCCAGGCAGG